GGTTTCTTTAAACTTTTAGAAGAAGATTGATTCACCCCATATAGTGGGTGAGAAATTTTGGATTTTTTACATTAGTTTAGGTCCAACCTAAGGTTTATATTTAGAGTTGGCCCTTAACCTAACTCAACCCATCTAATTTACACTCCTGAGAACAAAAAGGATCAAGAGATTTAAAAGAAAAAAAGGGTTTTAATGCGGAGAGGATATGTCACAATCATTGATATTATTGTGGAAGAGAGAGAGAGAGGGAGAGAGAGGATTTGCTTGGGGCTTAGTTACAACTGAAACATGCATAACCACAACCCAGGTCAATTAGAGATGTTCCCTACATGCCCTATCCCATTTAGGGCCTTAGGTGTGTAAGTGAAGTACCTGATTTGAAGTCAGACCCAAACAGCCTGAGATTATCCTTGTTGGAATTTTATCAAATCCTCAACCCGAGCCCACCCCTAATCGAATTACAACGGATGATGTGACACATAGAACCATCAACTAGATAAGACCTTTTAGACTCGGCAAAAAGTTGACCCAACCCAACCCAAAAAACTAAGGTTAGGGTCTCATATTTAGCTGCCTGAATGTGAGACCCGACCCGATTCAGAAAAAAACTGGGTTGGGTTGGGTCATGGGTTAACTTGTCAACCCGATTATCAGGTCTAATTGGGACCATTTATGTATTGTTAGATGTTTCCACTCTTTAATCTTTATTATTTAGTCTTTACACTTTATAGTTTACTCTTTGAATTGTTGAATGTTTCAAGTTTTTTGTTTTACTTTTAGAATTTTAAGGTTAATTTCTTTAATTTTGACATTTTTCTATATTTTCTTTATTTTTAAAAGTTTCAATTATTTTTAGGAATGACCCGAATTGACACATGGGTTAATCCTAACTCGAATAGTTAGGGTTAGGGACTAGCATTTACTGACCTAACCCCAAAGGAACCCAACCCAAAATCAACTTGAAGTGTCTTGACCCAATCTGAACCCGACCCACCCAACCCAATTGCCAGTTCTAAACCATTTCGATTGAGTTGACTAGCAAACCTAATACAATATAAGATAATTTCATATATGAAAAGATAAAATATTTTATTTTAAATTAGAACTCGCATGTGCAAAATTGCTATGCTCTTTTTAATAAAAAGGAATAAAACCAATTTTCTATTTTTAGTCAAACATATTTTCTCTTTGGTGTTCTTTTCAAAAGTGTTTAATATTCCATATCTACTGGTCATATTTTACACAAGTATATTTTATCTTTGTGCTCAGTTTGGAAGAATACAAATACAAATATGCATAGTGCAAAGCCTTGCATTTTGTATTATTTTATATGTATTTACACCGTATATATCTGTATTTGTACTCTTTCCAAACTGAACGGTTGTGTATAGTGTTTAAACTTGACACTCAAAGAGGTTGGTGAGGTAATTGAACAAAAACAATGTGATATATAACGAGAGGGCCTATAGTAACTTTTCGCTTAGGTTTTCTTCTCCAAAGGAAGACTACTATAGGGCTGTAAATGTTAATCATTTGTCTGAATTTTTGAATTTAAATCAAGGTTCAAAGTATCGGCACGTATCGGCCCGTATTTGTCGATACGTATCATTCCAGGACCTCTCCGGTACGCCCCTATGGTGAATGTATTGGGGGTCTGACCGGTTCAGAGGGTGGAGGAGCCCTAAACCGGCCCCCTGAACTGGTTTCAGAAGAAAAAAATAAAAAAATAGTATCGATTCGGGGCATATCGGGCGTATTAATATTTTGAACCTTGATTTAAATCCAATCGGTGATCTAATTGGGATGAATATGAATCATCCCGTATCCATCCAATATTATATGATTCAATCTGATTTAAATATACGAAGGTAAGAGTATGTACATATATGCAAGCATTAACCATATATGATGTATGCAACCTAAGGCAAGTATCCTTTTATATAGTATGCTTGTATTCAATGTTCAAAGTATTGACACGTATTGGCCGATATATATCATTCCGGGACCCCTCCGATATGCCCCTATAGTGGGTGTATCGAGGGTCTAACCGGTTGAGGGGGTGAAAGAGCCCTAAACCGCCCCCCCCCCCCCCCCCCCCCCCCCCCCAAACCGGTTTCAAAAAAATAATAAAAAAAAGGGTATCGGATGCATATGTGCATATTACAGATGATGAATAGATCTATTGATTTCCACGGTCACTGATATTTGTAAGGAGTTTGGACCTTTTATAACATCCAACTACCTAATTCAGTATAAAAGTTATCAAAACAAAAAATAATAAATAAATGGCACTGTCTTTTAATCACTCTATGCTGGCAATGTCAGTGTCGAGTGTATGGATACTTGGAACCTTGCCTATATGTATTCAAAATTCATATCCTATATATCGATATAGTTGGTTTAAATGCGGTATTTTAACTAGAGTCTAGAACCATAGGTTCAAGTCTCATATAAGTTGAGAGAGAGAGATATTTGGCATGCTGGTTTGGACTTAAAGCCAAGGCTAACATCAGCATTATATAATGTCAAAGTCATTTATAATTCATTTCATAAATAATATATAATATTTTTTTTAATTTATCAATAGTATTATTCAATATCCAGTTTCATTCCAAATAATATTCAGACCTAAATATATAATATTATAACAAATCATATTTTTAATCTATGTCCAATTCGATTTGATCCATCATGTGCAGCCCCATTCAGGTAGAACATTAAATTGCATTGACCGTATAAACCAAGCAAAATTTTTACAGACCGATCAGTTTTTTTCTTTATTTTGTTTGGGTAATAAATCAATACGTTATCACCCCCTAAAATAATTTAAACCGACTCTACTACCAACAAATCACTACAACTGCACATCCGAAACTTCTCTTCATGAATAAAAACAGTTCATATGATTACATATTCCCTCCAAACAACATTTTCAAGTAGAAACAGTGGTTTTCTTCCCTCTTAGAAAAAGTTCATCATATAGGACAGAGATGTTAACTTGAAAATTTAGCACAGGTAAGAACAGGGTGGATATAAAATATTAATTACTCTCACGAGACTACTTCTGAAAGGACGGTAGAACCAGAAAATAGGCAATCCCCATGCATAGGTCCTTCAAAAGTAACAAAACTCTAAACGTCCCCAGTTCCCCTAGAATAATCAGAGCCATTTTTATCTTTTAGTCGATGTTCTCAGAAATGGACGACACCAGCCAGCCAATTTCACCATAACTTTCAAATTCAACAGTATAAACAACTGAATTAACATGAACAGTTCTACATCACAACCAATTTTCAGAAGATTGTTTTCACTCTGATTCCACAAGTAAATTACTCTAATGAAAGATGAGAAGGATTCTTTATTACCAGCTAACAATCGAATGGACTAAAATTTTTTGGTGGTCGTAGCATTCTCGTATTGGCTTGAGACCAGGGCAAGCATCGGCATTATGTAGTAAAAGTATAAAATAATATTTTAGTTAGCTTCCCAAAACACCTAGCCATGCGTGCCGAGGCTGAATAAATTATATGTTAAATATTAAAACTTTGGATTATATGTGGTCCTATGGACCCAAATGGACTGACACTAACCATCTAGACAATCCAGCGGATTCCTTATCTGAGACGGAGTCGGCCGCAAGAACTTCCACGTGGCAGAATGTCAGTTTTGTGAAAGGGAGCTGCCTACAGAGGTCTTCTCAAACCACCACCTTAAGCCTTCAAATGAGTGTTGTTTCATATTATACTTTGTCCTTCACTTGCTGAAACTTTTCAATTGCACCAGATCAGTCTACATATTTCTTAAACCTTGAGAAGTTTTGCCCCTTTATACTAAATCTAACCTTGAACATAAAAAATTGGATGGTTGATAGGCTCAGTTTGGAAAGAGTACAAATACAAATATATACAGTGCATATACATATGAAATAATAAAAATACAGGGATTAAAACTCTAAATATTTGTATTTGTGCTCCTTTCAAACTGAGCCTTAATTCCATCTCTAGTGTTGATTTGTAGATACATTGTTTAGATATTAAGCAAACCCACTTCGTAACAGGCTAACAGCAGAGTAATGGCCAAAATAGGGCTACTTCTATTAGTAAACTTGAATTCATTCTACAAAGCATTGTGGGATGACTACATAGATGTAAGATGCCATGAAGGAGAGCTCACCCAGGAAATAGCAGCTCGACCCCTTGTCTATTCTCTATTGCATTTTGGCTGGAAATTTCAGACTCGGCATTTCCGTTTTTTATCCAACACAGAAGGCTCACAAAATTGTTTTCCAATTGAAACACCGCCACCCCAACCCCAGTGCTAAGGAACAGTTGAAAGGTGGAAGGATCATGACTCCTGACCTCTCCATAGCAAGACCATAAGCCACAAAAAATATTTAAAAAAAAAAAGAAACATTCTTATAACCAGAAGCCCATGACTATTACAGCATAGAAAAAACATTCTCATTGCCAGTTTGACACGTTGGTATTTATTTCAAGCAAACCTCCTACAAGGCTATATAAGATGGCAAGAAAGACAATAGCCGACCTCTTTCAGCCAAACCAAACTGTCACCATTTCAAGCAAAGTCTAGATCATTACCAAAATGACATCTCTAAGAACAACCCAAGGCTCAAGCCAGGGCAGCTCCAAGCCTCCAGCCTTCATCATTCAAAAAGAGGGAAATAAACAGTGAAATTTCCCTGTTAGTCTAACAGCCTAACAAGGCCTTGAAGTTTCAAGTGTCTTTCATTTAACCACAAAGGAAAGCAAACACTGTAAGAACATTTATTTCCCCTTACAATTAAGCAAAACCCAAAAACACCTCAAGGAAAAGAAAGACGATTTTGAGTTAGGCTGTCACATCTGACACTCTGCATTAAATACTACTGTTCAATGCCTCGCACTACAAAAGGAAAAGATGTGCAGGAACTTGAAACTAGCCAACAAGGTAGAAAAGAAGTGCAGAAACTTGAAACTAGCCAACAAGGTAGAGTAGTCCAATTTCACACAAAAAACATCATTTCTTCATTATTATATTTATACAGGGCTTACAAAAAACAAAAGGAGAAAGAAAAAACACACTTACACTCACCTATACTATTCTTCACTTTACCTTTTAATCATTTTACTGCAGTAAAATCTAAATGATTATTAACTTTCTTCCCTTCTTCAACCAGGTTATATTATTTTTTGTAAGGCAAGTGCCTCTCTTTACATCAGAGAAATGCATAGTTCAGTATGTCCAATCCTGAGGCAAACCCATTTCAGATGGAGGCTTAAACCCCTCCTGCTTCCCTAGACCAACCTTTCTGATGGAGGGTCGCTGTTGATACTCTTCACCATTTTTCACATCTGTCCAAGAAAAATGTTTTTCAGACTAGAAAACCCAGAACCCAAAGTAAACTTTATAGGGTGTTTTCTCAAATAAAATATAAAACAAACCATTAAAGACTAGTCAAACCAATTAAACAGGTCCATAAACAGAAATCAAAGACAAGAGTCACAAGACAGCATGCCTTTACTAAATGGGTTTTGGGCAAAAACTAATAAACAAGCTCAGCTTCTTTGGAAGAAGAAAACAAAAAGGAAGAAAATTTATAATAAACTACAAACCCGACAAAAATACTAAAAAAAAAAATGCATACACTACAAAATTAGGTTAAACATGCTCAAACATGTCTTACACTAAAGAAAGATAGTACTACAAACCTAACACAAATAAATAAAAATAAAATAAAATAAAACTATTTTAGAGGAAGTAAGCTCAAACATGGTCCTACATGGATAAAACTGCACAAAACCACTAACCAGTAGTACAACCCTAAAACAGGGAAGAAATATCTCGGTGTCTGCTTCCCACTTACTCTGTTTCTTCTTAACATCAGCAGAAGTTGCAATGCGAGGGAGAAACACACCAGTCCCTCCGTATTCTCTCACAAAACCACCCGTTACCGACCCGTTAACCTGAAAGGGAAAAAAACTGTTTTGAACCTGGTTTTGCCGCTGGCTCTGCAAAACCCTAGCTCTCGGCTGCTGAACACAGCCCTCGACCTGTAAACAAGACCAAAAAGAAGATTAAAAAGGAAAAGCCAAACCCCATTAAAGCTGAAAAAGAAAAGCCTTGGAAGCACAACCTAAAGGCCAGGTTCTGATTTTAGTACCTGAGGTTGAACCGGTTTCATCGGACGAACCTGGTAAACCGGTAACGAACCGGGAGAGAAACAGTAATTTCCAGATGCATAAAGATGGCGACCACCAACGCCAAAAGTAGGGTTTCCACCAAACCCAAGACCAAACCCGGTTCTCGGAGGAGCAACAGAACTATGCTGCCTCGGCCGCCTAAACTGCTTGAGAGTTGAGAGTTGAGACCCAGGAGGCAAAAGCAGAAAACCCAGGTCAGAAAACTAACAAAAAGGAATCAAGGCAAAAGAATGGGTTGATAAAGTTAGCAAAACCTCTAAGTTTGGAGGTAAATTTGGCGGAGGCTTTACAGCGTTTTGGTTCCGTTCAAGCAAAGCGTAAGCGGCGAGCTGTCGAGCAAGGTCTTCCATGTACGTTAGCTCACATGGAAATTCAGGGCTAAACTTGGCGGAAACTTCGTCGGGGAAGATGTCGGAAGGAAGCCAAAGTTCCCCATCATCCAAGTTTGGAGTATAGTCCGCCATGACTAAAGCAGAGTCTTAGACCAAAAAGAAAAAATAGAGAGAGAGAGAGAGAGAGAGAGAGAGAGACAAGTGGAGTGGGAAGAACCGAAGAAGTGAAGAACCACTAGAAATGGCAGAGAACACGGAGAGTGAAAAGAGAGGAAGAGAAGGAATTTCAAGGGTCGAAGGCGGGATTTCAGTTGGGGAGGGAAGATATAGAGCTCTAGAACCGAGACAAAAGAGAGAAATGAGAGGCGGAGGGGTTTTCAAAACGACGTCACAAGTTTCTCTCTCTAGTTTGCAGCAAAAAAAAGAGTTTCTCTCTCTAGTCTCTACTACAAAGAGAGAGAAGAGAGGGTACGCCCTATATATCAGATCTTTTCTGATGGGACCGTACTCACGTGACCACTCGCTGATGAGCTGTGTTAATACCCTACTCAACTGTACGTATATGATCCGATTATATCCGTTGGATGGTCGAAGGTTTCAGATCCACGACTCAAGATTCCATCTAACGGTGAATACTTCATGAAGGCCTCTGACATTCCGCCTCATGATGCCAGTCGTACGCCCCTCGGTCTCCGCTAGCCGTTCGTGCTCCTCACCTTCCACTCTCTTTCATTCGATCATTCGGAATGACTAAAATGTCCTCTTATGTAAAACAAAACTTTTGAGGGTGTAATTGTAACTTCAGCAGCAATGTCGGTTGGTAAGTGGTAACCACCTTAACAGTTTCTCAATTCTCATGGGAGGAACCGATGAAAGGAAAGAGCAAGACCCCACTACACGGATTTCGATTTTCTGAAGAAAAAAGCCTTTGTCTTAAATGACAAACATACCCTCAAGTCCTGGACACAGGACACGGTTCCTTCGTTCATGAATTATGGACCGCGGACCGGTCTCTCGTCCGGTTGGTTTGATTTGTTTAACTTTAACATGGTCTGGCTCATCCTGTCTGATTGGGATGTTTTGTGTGGTGAGTTCGGCTTCTATCAGAGCAAGTCGGTGCTCACACCCTTCGAGCAGCCCCTTGCAATCTTGCATTGTGAATATCCCGCATGAAATAAATCTCGTTTTGTGTCTAACCGGTTAGTATGGCTTTTTCTAATTCAGAATTTGTGACTGATAATTCTAGTTAAGCATCGAAAATATTGGTATTGGGTATTATATTGGATAAGTTAGACATGGATATACTTTGAAAATTTATAAATATAAACGAAGATATAGAAACACTTGGATACGTTAGGCAAATGCATACAAACCATAACCTCAATAGGTTATATGAAGAGAAATATTACAGTAAATAATACCGAGACTCTAGAACATTCAAATATCATACAATAATTATCACCCTTTCAATTTTTATAATTATAATTTTCAAATTTTATTAATTTTTTGGGAATATTTTTCAACTTATTATTTTTGTTTAAATAACAATTATTTTTAAAATAATGAATATGTCTTCATTTTTAACATATAATGCTTTTACTTTACATATAATTGTAAAATAAAACAAATAAATCATTTAAGGTAGATAAAATAAATTATTTATAATTTTCAGTTTTTATTAAATTTTTTGGGGAAATTAAATCTTAAATTATTCTTTTCAGTTTTTATAATTATAATTTTTTGTTTTCCATTAATTTTGTTGGGAAATTTTATTTATTTAGTATTTTTATATAATAACTCTATTTTTTAAATAATAACTATGTTCTCATTATGTGTAACATAAAATATATAAATCATCTAAGGTAGGTGAAATATATTATTTTTATAATTTTTAATTTTATTAAGTTTTTTGGAAAAATTAAATCTTAAATTATTTATTTCAGTTTTCATAATATTAACTTTTTTATTTTTATTAAAGATGAAAAACAATTCCAAAGTAGTCAATATACAGTTTTGTCAAACTAGGTACAGATACACCTCTATATCAATGTATATTAAACCATATCCACCGATACAGCACAATACGACTAGATATGGAGGTGTATCGTGCTGATACGCACGACTCATGGGATACGTATCCAGTCGTGATATATCCATTATCCATAACCATGGATATGGATATGATACACCCTGTATCGATACCTTCATCCTTGGTTCTAGTTATCTTTAAACAAATTCATCATGATCAGTTTTATTTGACATTGCAATAGGTCTAATATGAATAATCCATCATAAAATAGCTCCGTATGATTCATCAACATAGTGCAATTTATCAATAACTATTATTTTCTTCATAAATGAAATTAATTTCTATTAATTTGTACGTTAAAATGCATCTATTTTTTTCGGTAAAAAATAAGATGCTTTTACAAAATAGAAGCATACTTTGTCAATAATTAACAAATGTGGACGATGCTTTGCACATGGAAATTTTAGGTATTTTAATGTCGGAAATTTTAGATATGATGATGATGATAGTATAATGTGTCTACATTTTTTATAATATTTTATATTTTTATGCAGACAACTTAATTCTTATTTATCACACTTATTTTTATTTAATATGATTAATATATAATATTAGAGATGTGCAACAATCTCTGATTTTTGTGACTTTTTGTATTTATCTTTTAACTTTTATTATTTAATTATGGAATAAAGGGTTGACAAATTTAACACAAAACGTTAAATTACAAAACTACCGCCAAACCAAAAAAAAAAAGTAATAAATCCATTTTTAGGTTGAAATTGGTAAAATTTTCTCCTTACTAACATCTTAATGCAAAGAATGTTTCTGAGATGTGAATGTTGAGTTTTGATAAATGACACTTGACCATTTTACACATAGAAAGGAAAATGTTTGTTTCACTATTTATAAATTCATAATAATTCAAATAATAAAATATTGATATAAAAAACTAATATTGACACTAAAATGATAAAAAATAATAATAATTCAAATAATAAAATATTTGAAAAATAAAAATATTAAAAGTTAGAAAAAACGATTAAATTTTATTGATATAAAAAAATCTTAACAATAAAAATTAGCACAACAATTTACAATTAATAACAAAAAAGTATAATAAAAATGTCCTTTGAATTTTATAAAAAATTAATAAAACAAATAAAAAGTTTAATAAATAATATAAACCTAGTTAGAAATTAGAAAATGAATGAAATAAATAAAAAATAATAAATGGTTAAAAATTAATGCACAACAAATAAATAATTAAAATAATAAAATGTTTAAAATAAAAATGAATAAAAGTTATAAAATTCAATAAAATAATTAAAATGTTTAGAAATTTTAACAAGAAGTAAAAAAGTAAGAAAAATGTTTACAAGAATTCAAAAATGATTAAAAAAATAAATGATTGATAATAATTCACAATCATAAATATAAATATTTTATTATTATTATTGTTATTATTATTATTAGTACTTATGTTATTATTAATTATATTACTTTTGTTATTAAATACCATATAAGCAAATTAGTCATAGAAGGAAATGCAATTTTGGAGCAAAGTGATAGGAACAAATTCCCATAACTTTAGCATTTGGAGTGTTTGCTTTAATGCAACCAAACACTTTTACCCATGAATTCTATAGCACTTGAAGGGTTATTTTAGTGCAACTAAATGTCCACTCACTAAATAGTTCCATCATGAGTTCCACCAAATTTAAACATAGTTGGCAGTTATAAACGATATTTGTGTGACAAGTATGTCCATAAAAGTTTAGTTTATGTAAAATATAATTAAAACATAAATAAATAAATAAATAATTGCACATATAAGAAATAATTAATAGTATAAAATGTTAAAAACATTAAAAATTATAAATCAATCTAAAAAAATAAATTATTAAATATATTTATTCATAAAGTTATGCAAAATATAATTAAAACAGAAAAGGGATTAAAATATAAACATAAAATACTAATTGATAATAAAATATTAAAAATTCAAATATGCTTAATATATTATAAAATATTAAAATCTTCAAAAATATTTTGTGTGTTCTTTATTATATTGCACCTTTTATATCTTAAAGAAATTTATATTTTTAAAGTTATCTAATTTTGATATTTTAACATTTATAAATTTGTTAAATGTAGTATTTATATTTTTTCGATAGGGTAAATTACCTAAACCTTCCCTATAGTTTTTGGGAAGTGCTTTAAACTCTTCTAAACTTTAAAATTTGACCTCTTGAGAAATCTCTCTACACATTTTAGAAAAATGATACAAATAGAGAACCCTTTCATTAGTTTGACATTAAGGCCTCGTTCATTTTTTGGTAAGCCATTTACTTGGGTAAATGCACTTATTTGAGCAATGTATTTCCTGAAAAATGCTTACCTGGATATGCGTGCTTATCAATATTCTTTTTATTTCTCATGTAAAAATATACAGTGACCGGTTTATCCAAAAAAGTGACATTATTAAATGATGATATTGTTTCATTACATATTACTGATTTTCAATGTACATAAGTAAATAATTTACCCAAGTCTTAGGAGAGTATTACTTCTCCAAGTAAATGAGTCGTTTGGAAATCATTATTTTCCACAAGACCCATCGGAAAACAAACAGGGATTTATTTCTTTTTCATGAGACATACCAATTTACCTATCCCTACTTCTCGCATACGAGGCCTAAGTACTAATAAAAATGGTGATGTCTTGCTTTTAAACATTTAAAATGGTTATTTTGCCCATAGATGAGAATATGGAGTATCTATTGACCAAAATACCTCCAACTAAGCTCTTTTCCACATTTAATTTACAAACTTGGTTTAATCGATCTTCTTTGAAATCTTCTTCGGTCTTTGAGTGTCAAAGATCATTACATGGATACAAACAAGAATATGGCTACTCTATCTAACATTTTGAGAGTTTATTTCAGTTGCCCATTTCTTCTTCTTAAACCTAAAAAAGAATGAACAAGCTCCACAAAAAAAAAAAAAGCCTACAACTACTTTGGAGGCAAATAAGATTAATAAAGAAAATGTTTAAATATCAACTATAAAATAATTATTTTGGAGGCAAAACCCCAATCTATTCATCTCTTTTTATCATTTTCTTCCATTTTTTCATGGCTTCAGGCTATGAACTATTTGATGAAATGCCTAAGAACGCATGAAATGTTTTGTTTTCCTTAAGCTCAGTTTGGAAAGAGTACAAATACAAATGTGTAGAGTACAAAATCTTATATTTTGTATGTATTTGTACTATACATATTTGTATTTGTACTCTTTCCAAATTAAACCTTAAGGCCAAATAATACCCCTCAATGGAGGACATATGGTTGTAGGTAGGCTTATGGATGGCAATTTTCCCTATCCCTGGCACGGGGATGGGGATGGAGATTGAAGTCCCTGTCCCCGATTATATATATTCAATATTATTTTTATTAAATATATATTATTTTTTATATATGATATTATTTTTATTATATATATATATCAAAATATATTAAAATATTATTATATTTTAAACATTTCCTTTATTTTAATTATTTTTTTTTCAAAAAATACTATTAATTGAAAATTTTTGGGGATTCAAGTCCCTACAGAAAATCTGTCATCTATCTCCATTAGGAATTGGGGATGGATGATAACTTTTATTCATCACAAGAATCAGAGTCAAGGACGGGAATTTATTTCAAAATCGGGGTCGAGGACGAGGTATATGAGCCCCACCCTAAACCTGCCTTTGTTGCCATTCCTATGTAGGCTTTAATGTAGGGGTGATCATGGGTCGGGCTAGGCTTTGCCTTCATAACAACAGGCTTATGCTAGGCTCGGGCCTGGCCTAGCCCGTATTATTGGCCTAAAAATATAAGCTTGGGCTCGACCCTACATGGGCCCGAGCCGGGTCAAGCCAAGATTTTGGGCCTAATTATTGTATTTCAGGTCCAAAATTAAACAATTATACTTTTTTTTTTCACTTATTGTTGTGAAGACTATAGTAACATGTAAGAAACTTTAAACTTAATATCAAGATAAAATCTTTTAACATAAGAGAAAATAAATAATCATACGTTGTAACTTATAAGTTTCAATTGGTCATTAGTATGCTAAAAATGATAATTTTAACAAACCAATTCTTCTATAAAAAAAAAACAACTTAGAACTTATAATATCTATCAAAAAATAACCATCAATTGTCATGTAATATTCACAAAACAACTTTAAACATCTCTATAATTGGCTTCATCTTCCATTCAACTCCTACAAATAAAAAGTGAAATAAAAGATATTAACAAACTAAGAAAAAATAATTCAAATTAATGTAAATAAATAAGTAATAAAATATTGAAAATGGTTTCAATTTTACCTAAAACTTGCAACCACTCTAAACTTCAGATTTATCTTCATCAATGGAGTCTTCATCACTAGAAGATCCATCTTTTGGTGAGAGAGAGAGTTTTGGCATGTCGGTGGTTTTGTGAAATTGGTGAGAGAGAGAGAGAGCCAAGAAAATTAGGGTTTAGTAATTTCTATATTTCATTAAATAGTAGATTAGAATTTGGTAAGATCTAAGACCGTAGGACTAAAATCTTTAATCTCCTACAAATCTCTATTTAATATATAAAACATCAATTATCAAATATTTTTAAATAACATATATACATAAAGATATACTAGCAAATATGTACGTGCATTTGCATATAACAGTATCTCTAAGACAAAATTATTTATAATTCATGGACAGTTATAAGTGGGCAGTTTCTAAAATGAAAGTAAGGGGCATATATGCCCTCTTTATGCCCATTGTATGTTTAGATATATGGGCTGGGCCGAGCCCAGGCCTTAACAAAAAACCTAGACCCAACCCAGATTTTCTGGGCCGGGCTGAAATGATCACCCCTACTTTAATGAGGCCGGACTTCACAATATTCGTTGCAGGTTCGAGTTCCCCACTTGCATCTATCTACTTGCCATCAGGGCGGGGGGGTTGTGACCTTGTGGGTATGGGGATGGACGACCCTGCATTAAGATATATATTTTAAGTATTTTTGCAAAATTCAAGGTATGTTTTAAGTCTTTCACTTTTTTTTACTTTTTCATTCTCCTTCATAGAAATCAAGCCAAAATGGAGATAATTCAAGGCACAAAATTTTGACATTATTTATGGATTTGACTTCATTGATCTCCTAAATTATTGGTGCTTTTTTTTTTTTTGTAAATTTAAATTTTTAGTGAACTACTTGCCTTGTTTTTGTAGATATAGGTTTCTTGCTGGACTACATAAATCTTTTATTCTGGTAGTTTGTTTATTTCCTGTTATTCTTCATGTCTTGTTACCTTCAAAACCCAGAATCTCACCTCAACACAACGTAACCAACTGAATGGTAGGCCAAGAATTTGTCACCCTTGGATGTCTTCTTGAAAATGACATACAAAAGATGTTCCATGTCTTTTGACTCAGATGTAAGAACATGACTCTTAAATTTGTAAATAATGAATTTACTGGTATATTACAAGTAAAATTGCAATACAGAGAAGCATACAAACAAAAGATGGTTGTAATGCTTCCACCATAGACAGAGGTTAAATATTACATATTCACTGCTTGGAGAGAAGCGCTAAGTTTTAGTGTTGATAACCAATTTAGAAGAGCTCCATTGACAAGTTCTGGGACCTCATCATGAGGACAATGCCCTGCCTGTAGACTCACAAGCGATGTGTTGGGATAGAACTCTTTGATTCTGGCGGCTTTTGCAGGCCCTACCCAAGGGTCCAAGTCACCCCAGAGCAACAACAATGGGCAAGAGAGTATGCTTAGCACACTGTCAAGTGTATACTTTGTCTGGTTTAACATGAACCTCGTCATTAATCTGCAAACGTCAAAGAAAATCCAGTTATGAATAAGAAAAAGAGATCATCAGATGGTTCCTTTGTCACTCCATGATGGTTTTAGATTTAGGGGATTACATAATTTTAGATTTAGAAGGGAAATTTGCAAATCAAAAATCATTCCTGTAGTTCTGACACTAACGGTAGCCTGAGCTAAGTCAAACCCAAGGTGCAGATTAAAACCATCAAAACAGAAACCAGAAAAATCAGGTAGGTCAGGCTTGTAGATCTCACCCCTAATGGCTGATTGCTTCCATAGTTATACATTCATCTAAAATCAAATTTTGAGTTCTTATTTGGGGACAGAGCAAATTAATGCATATATTTACATTCATACCTATAATAAACTTCTCCAGCATTGGGATCCGCCGCTGGTTTTGTTATTGATTCCACAAGGTAGTCATCTACATTGGAAGTATTTATATATACCTGTATTGGAAAAAGAAATGTTAATGAGGTGAATAAATAGTGTAAAATAACAAAGAAAGGTAGAAATGTTGCATTAATTCAAATACGAGAATTACATTGTATTTATAGAATAAACAGGATAAAACCAATCTTACATAAACTCTATCCTAAACCTAACAACCCATCCTAATCCATCTCAAACTCTCTACCTCATCTTTATCACGAGAACAAACTGAGCCTAATATCAACTCCCTAATATGCCCCCTTAAACACATGGGGATCGAAGATCTTCATGTGTTTAACGTTACAATGTGATGATGTGTCCACGCTTCCAAGCCTTTTGTGATGATAATGCGGCAAACTAATGATGACAAGGCTGTGATGTAGCATGATGATGAGAACCTGCTTCTCTTCAAGAGAGAGTTTTTGGTTTAAAGGTGATTTTGGGAAACCAATTATTTATTTATTAATTAATATAAAAATGAAATTTTGAAAAAAAAAACTAAAAAGAAGTGTGGGGTAAAATGTATCAATACACCCCTGCTGATACATTTGGGTGTATCGATACTTTAAACCATGGATAACATATGAGATGGCCAGAGATGGGGGTAACAGTGCACTGAAGACAATGATCAGGGGTACCGACATCCATCAGGAGCTGTCACTTGAATAGGTTGCCACCTGCCACTGAAGAATCGTGTGCAACAGCAAGTGTCTTTCTCACAAGAGGGGATTTAGCCAAACAAGGATGCTCTCATTTGAATGGGAATGTACAGTTGGTGAACCAAGAGTGTTGAAATTCTAGGTGTTCATATCAGAACGAGTTGTAGGTGATGCTGATGCAGTGTCGAAACAAGGAGAAACAGCAGGGCAGACAATAGAGGCCTGCTGAAGATTTTGGCTTTGAGTTCTGCTGCAACATGATTCCAATTCTCCATGGTTGGCCACAAATGCTGCAAGAGGCTGGTACTGTACTTGAAGTCATTTATGGCAATATGCAGAGATATTCCCGGTGATAGCAAATGTGATTAGTTCAAATCAGTTGTTGACAGTCCTGGTGCATTAATTCAACTATGAAAATTACATTGTATTTATAAAATAAGTAGGATAAAACCAACCTAACATAAACTCTATTCTAAACCCATCCTAATCCATCTCAAGTTCTCCACTCATCTTTATCTCATGATTACAAACTGAGCCTTATCTCAACTCCCTAATAAGCAGAATGGAAGATAACACAACTTCTGCAGCTAAGGCTGTGTGTGACATGCTTTCTGAGAATTAGTTTTGATGAATTTTTAAATTCTAAGAATCATTTTTGAAGTTTGGATTTATGACAATTTATGGAACTAATTATTTTTCTGGGCTCAAACTTGTTCTAATAACTGATTCTAAGTCAAGAAATTTAGCTCCAAAAGTGAATAAATTTTGGCTTAGTATTCTTCAAATAGTGTTTCTTTGGAGCAGAATTTTAACCAAACATAGCCCAAATGTCTACTTGAAATTGAATACAAGGATGAAAAGAATCTCTCTTCTGTCTCATCCAGACAGATGAAACATAGTTATAGAAGTTGAGCAGTTCTCCTAGTCCAAAAGATGATATGGTCAGGCTTCAAGTCTATCACATTTTCAGAGTCAGGGAATAAAAGAGAAAATGACAGGAAATCATTCAATGACACTGAACTTAACTAGATATCATCTGCATAGTTTTCAAGGACCCAAGGAGAGGCTAGGCGACAGGGGGGCGCCTTGTCGCCTAGTCGCCTAGGCGATGGATTTTTTTATGTTGAAAACATAGATCCTAGGATAGTTCCCTAGGTACCATAACCATATTTCCTTAATAATTATTCATAATTTTCATAAGAAAAGTATAAATTTCATATTAAATTATAGAAAATCAACATATTCATGAGAAGAAAAAGAAGAAAGAAAATAAAATTCAAAAAATATAGGGGATGAACCCTTATTTTTATTATAGGAAAAGAATAAAAGAAAAAGTAGTAGTAGCAGTAGTAGTAGTAGTGGTGGTGGTGGTCTTCCTTACTTATTGGTTCAGGTTTTGAAGTCTTTGAGGGTTCAATACAGCATTTAACAACGTTTGTGTTGATTAAACCCAAATAAATAAGAAAACAATAAAAAGAAATTAGTATATAAACACAGAAAATGATTATTTTAGTTTAATAATGTCTATTTTATAATTATAATCTCAAAAAAGAATGAACAAGAAAGTATTTTATAGTAGGAAGTAAAAAACTGCTTGGCGATTAGGTGAAGCGAGCCTCAAAGGGCGCCTTGTTACCTAGGCATCGCCTTGACAACTATGATCATCTGGTAGGACATGCTAAAAAGTAGCTCAACCACTCCATACGTGAAAAGTGGGAGGACAAACTTCTAATCACAATATGGGGCTTGCTCATGTTGGTACTAGGACAATCTATCAGTTATTTGTTTTATGGGAGATAAGGGTCTCTCAGTATGTCAGTGAACTTTGCATGCACACCCAAAGAGGGAATCAAAGTTATGCTTGTTGCACCCATTAAGCTTTAAAAAGAGAATGCACCAAACCAGAGTTGGAGATAAGTAGCATACACTTTTTAAGACAGATTCAATCCTTGCAGGTTGCTTTGCTTGCCAAAAAAGAAATCCTAGAACAATACGCTGAAAAACCTCCTTCAGTGGCTTTAAGAGAAAATTCTCTAGGATGGAATTCTCAGATTTTGTAGATGTTCTCCCACTTGCATCTCCAAACTGCCCAGCAGAGTTTAGTAATGCAACTCCCACAACTTGTTCAGGCAACTCTGCTGCTGTAACCAAAGCAGTAAATCCTCCAAGACTGAAAAATAATCATAGGATATATAATCTTTTAGAGTCATTAAAACCACACTCAACATGGAAAGAATAAGCAATAATTGAACACACACACACGTGTAGAAAGGATTCTAGTTGAAGTAGAAGGTTCGTTATATCATGACCAAGACATATGCTCCCTGCAACTTTAATGTTTCCTTTCTTTCTTTCTTTTAGACTCAGGTTATGATCAAGCTGACAAAACAAGTTCTTTGGGTTTTCCGAACACATGTCATGGCTGTTAAGGGACATCCTTTCCATATTTAAGTCTGAGGTTTTATCCAGAATTGTTATGCACAAAACAATTCTCTATAGAATATGTACATGAAACCTCTGTAATTGTTAGACTGAACAGAACATAAAGAAATAGTTCAAACAAGATAATACAGTTTGGGCATATGAGAAATTACCATATTCTTCTAAAATGATTACATTTTCTTTGCTCTATCACTGTAGCATTAAATCTTAATTTGAAGGCCTGGTGAATGATCACCATGATATAAGCCCAAAGGCTTCAACCACATAGATATCAAGACATTTGAAAGCTTACATGCTATTTTTCATATTGATATTGTATCCATGCTTATGAAGCTTACTAATTTAGTTATGGAGCCCATACAATCACTTGACAAATTATATAATATGTTACCCCTTTGTGTTTTCACCTACTAATACAAGAGAACGATCATATAAGCTGCAAACCTAAGCACCTTGTGCTCTGCAGTACTTACTGAATTTTATAACAGTAGTTTGGGAGTTTGGGTAATGGCACTTTTTATGGATTTGCAGTTTCATTTTGTCGTCTTCTGTATATGTACAACTTGTCCTTTAGTGTTCAGAAATCTAGATTGGATTCCCCAATCAGGGTTTCTAATCAGAGCAAAATGGTCTTTCAACCAGATGTAGCTCTAGCTACCAAGATCTTCTGATAGACTCCAGAATAAGGCTTTTTTTTTGAAGATAAATAAAGAAAAAATCCATTAGGAAATAAGGGAGAATAAGGCTACATGACAAATTTTCAAGTTCAGGAAAATAATAAACAGAAGGGAAAAAAAACCACCGTTGGTTGACATCTCAACTAATTTAACTCGATGCAAGACCAAGAACTAAAGGATCTTTGATAGGGGTGCAAGTCGGGCGGGTTGGGCTGGGTTTATGGTCAACCCAGGCCCGGCCCTAAAATTTGGGCTTAAGGCCGGAGCCTGAGGTCAAGCCGGATTTTTCCAACCCGAGCCCAGCCCGCCCTGTAATTTGATGCCCTCGGGTTGGGCTCGGGCCCGGGCCAGGCTTGGGTTGGTCAATGAACCCACTCTAAAATTATACATATATAAATGTATTTATGCAAATATATATACATATTTATGTATGTATGTAAATATGTATGCAAAATATCTATACAAATGTTATATATACAAATATGTATGTATATATATGTAAATATGTATGCAAACATTTATATATATACACATATACACATATATATATATGTATAAATATATATAATTGGGCTGGGCTTAGGCCGGGTTCGGGCTACCTAAGGGCTAGGCCTGAGCCCGGCCTGAAAAATTGAAAATCCCTACTTCTTTGGCCCGAGCCCAGCCTGTGTAAAATTCCGGGTTGGGCCTGCCCAAGTTGCACCCCTAATCTTTGAGTACTGTCACAAGCTCCTCTGATGAAAAAAATAACAGGAAATATGGTTGAATTAGAATATGATAAAGTGGATGTCCTAGATAATAAGAACAATGATAGTCGTTGTTCCAAGAAGCATGTTTGGTGCCTACTATAAATAATAACAACACAATTCTGAGGTACAGTCCTCTAAATAAACAGGTAACTTCAAATGTCAGAAATTTCTCAAGTTTCTCTTTAAACCTTAAAATGAAATGTGAACATTTAATTTTTATTTTTGTTAAAGAAAATATATGCATTTATATGATACTGAGATTTCCTTCCACGCAATAAATCAGAAACTTAATAAGATTCACTGTAGAATGCAACTAAACTCAAGAACTTTTATTGTCAAGCATCCTTAAAACAAGAATAAATACTCTGCACTCGTAGTAAAATATTACCTGTTTCCAACTAAAATTGCTGGTTCTTTCACTATCTCCTTCAAGAAATCTGCAACCTGGTCTCTCCATACCATGGCATCATACTCAATTATTGCTTTCTCACTCCATCCAAACCCCAGCAAGTCTAAAGCATAAACTCTATATTTTTTAGCCAGCTCTGGTATATTGTATCTGCTTACATCACAAGAAAAAGAACTTCATTAACATAACTGAAAGTGCACATAAAAGTCAAGAGACTCAAGACAAATAGAAATTGAAGACTAAGACAAACTAGCATGATTTTCAAACCAATTAATTTCTCAGGAAGCAATGTTTTACCAGAATCAGTGTCTGTTAAACAAACTTATGCATGTTCAAGTCACATTTTGAATGAAGATTTGGTTCAATTTCAAATCTTTAAAGGGAATACAATTCACAACCAAGAATAACATAATCCTCTATGTGGGAATGGGATGTATTCACAAATTGTGCAACAGATAGAAATGATAGGCTTTGCATTAGAGAAACACATCTAACCTGGAAAAGAACCATATATACACTTCTAACAATGAGAAACACAATCATCAATTTGATCTTCACACAGAAAACTCTCTAAACAGTTTCAGAATAGGCGCTACATGAAGTGATGGCCTACCATTTCAAGTGCAATCGTTGGGTGCATTTTGATTAACAAGATGCCAAGAAAGAAAATCAAGAACCCAAAACGAACCTCCAGTGAAATGCAGAAGCACCAAACCCATGAATAAGAACTATAGGAATCCCTTTTCCTTGCTCCACGTAATGTATTCTGTGGCCCCTCCATGTCCAATAATTGTACCCTTCTGGCTTGAAAGGTAGCCTCTCTCTTCCTGGAAACAAAATCAGCTTAATCAAGTTCTGTATACACGCATACATGAATTCTAAAAAGAAATTCAGCAAAAATAAACAAGAAGAAACGAATGCTATCAGGTAGCATAACTTTTAATTTCCACCAAAAAAATCTAAATCTGCAACCAAATTCCCGAGATGAAGAACAAAACAAACCTTGGATGGGACTGGCAGTCGAAGAAGAATCCATAACCGAAACCCCGGCTGCAACGATTCCCTTCAAGGTAAAATTCCTTCTAAGAATTTTGCATTGGCTTTCTTCGCAGAGAAACCAAAAAGTCAGCAAAAGTTTTCCACAACCAGCATTTTAGTTTCAGAGGTAGAACAAATAAAAGTAGATAGGATTAAGCCCTTGGTCCTTACTGTGCTGAAAGATCCTTCTGGGTACAAAGAGTCGACGTTGGATGGGATTGAAGAAATCTGCATGTCTGAGTGAAGGTGAAAGTGTAGATGAAGAAGACATCGAAGCCCAACAACCATAAACCCCACGAAGCTCAAGAATCGCTGGACTGGGTTGAGGTTGAGAAACCAGATACGAATTACGAGGAGGATTTGAAAGAGAAGAAATTAGTAGCGACTAGCGAGAGACTGCGAGAGCATAAACTAAATTCTTTTATGTGGCTGGCGTACCATGCAGCTGTGGCTCATTTGGAACCAAACGAATCTCCAGATTCTTCTCTTTCTACTAAGGTTGTCATATTTGGACCGGACATAATACCGTTTTGGTCATCGGGTCACGGGTTGAACACTTCAACCGTCCAGTCCGACTCAAGAGTCAAGAGTCAAGAGTCAAGACTATGCTGCCAATGAACTCCCAAAATTCAAAACCGGATTCGACATCCGATCCTATACGGACATACAGTTATGCATACATTCGATTGAAATCCAAAGTCCATACAAAAAAAATCCAAGGTCCATTAATAATTATATATAAAAATTATATAAAATTTATAATTAATAAATTTAATATTTTATATTTATATAAATATATATATATATATATATATTTTTTTTTAAATAGGTTGTATGTAAATTCTAATTTGTTTTATGACGATGTGATTATCACTTTTATTAGAAAGGTGGTCCCACGTTTATGCATTCATTCAGGAATTTCTTCTCTTGCGTTCTCCTTTGGATTGGTTCTTTTGTTGGTTGCAGAAGTTATATATTTATACTTTCCTGTTTTCATCATTTTTCTTTCTGAAAAGTTGCATCTGAGCTTCATTTTTGATTGAATTTATATACAAGTTTCTTGATTGAATTCTGTGTTAGATAAGAGTGCAAATTGTAGTTATAAGTAAATAGATGCAAAATTGGTATCTGGTTGAAATTTGCACCATAAATAAACAGAATCATAGATTTTCTAAAATATCATTTCACTGTCACCAATCACCATGAGAAATGAAATATTGACAAAATTTACTAAGTCCCTACGAGTAGATGTACACCAGCCATCACCACGCCTCACGTATAGACGTATAGTCCCCGAAACAAAGGGCCCATATCCGGCAATGGGACCTACAAGTCCACTAAACATGAGTCATAGATGTGAACAACAAGAAGTAACTATAACACAAACCAAATGGCTCTGTAAATGGATCGGATTCGATTGTAAATTTAGTTTTTCTGATATTTGGATTTTTTTTTTATTGTGACCTATTTATCAGATTTTGATATAAGGTGATCATGGGCCAGGCCAGACTAGGCTTCTACGTATACAGCTTTAAATGTACTATGCTTACCATAGCTTAGACAGAAAACCTAAGCCCAAGCCCGGAATTTTCTGGGCCGGGCTAGAGATGATTATCCCTACTTTGATGGGTCTCTCTCTAATAAAAATGAAATTTGAATTTATGGGTCTCTAATGAAAACATGATATCTAAGTTAACTTGGGACTCCAAGCTTCTTCTTGTTATTTCATGTTTGCGTGGAGAAATTCCACCACCATGGAGCGAGCATACGAAACATCATTGAAGACTGCACCGCTCTGAAGACCCAGTTTGCGTTTGGTTTAAAGTACCGTCATGGCGTCATGTCTTCCGTGAGGCCAATTCTGTCTTACAGACTCCTTAAGTTTTAATTTACAGGATCTCCCTCCTCTAGGTTTTATTTATAATTGTGATTCGTGGGGACGTACTACACCACCCCCAGGCTTGTGTAACACCAATTGGATCTATCAAAAAAAATATCTAAATTAATTTTATTAATCATAAAAAAATTAATTTTGTTATTGAACAATTGAACTTAATTACTATAAACTATTCACATGCGTATTAAAAATATAGAATTTAGGTCTTAATCGAATTAAATTGGAGTGGATCCCTATGTCCAATCCAAATTAAAGCCATGACTTTGGCTTTTTAAGAAAGAAAGGAGTTTACATCTTAGGCTATGTTTGGTTCACTTCTGGCCTCATTTTTTAATTTTTGCTCATTTTAGGCAAGAATGGGCAAGAACGAATAATATTAGAGAGTTTGGTTACAAAATTCTTACTATGGGCCACATTCTTTTTAGAACGAAAAATAAGCACCATAACACAAAAATTAAGCAACATGTAGCAAGAAAAATAATCATGCCCCATCTTGCTCATTTTCATTCTTTGAGGAAACTGTACCTGCAAAACTGCTACCATAGATATACTTTTGCAAAAGCACTTTTATAAAAGTATTTTTACATGAAAAAACTTTTACAAAATCACTTTTATAAAAGTAAATTCATGAAAAGTACTTTTTCAAAAGTAAAGTACTTTTACACTAAATCACTTTTATGAAAGTATTTTTATAATTATGAAAGCACTTTAATAAAAACACTTTTATGAAAGCACTTTTATAAAAGTACTTTTATGAAAGCACTTAGGCTGGCGGTTTATGATTAAAGGCACAGTTTTTATTTTTATTTTTATTTTGAAGAATGAAAACAAGCAACATAGGACACTTGTTAGTCTAAAAAGAATTCATTTTTAGGAAAAAAGTGTTTGGTTCATAGCAATATTTTCTCATTCTACCTATTTTTACCCATTCTTGTATTAAAATTTCATCTCAGGTAAGAATGAAAAAGAATGAGAATTGAACCAAACATGGCCTTAATATTTACTTAGCAATATTTTAAAATCTGACCCGGAGGCCAATCCATTTTTGCCTTGATCACCGGTAGAAAGCACTACTTTTTAGTAACATTTTCAGTTGATGATGAATTTTTTGTCAATTAATTATAAGGCCTGTTCTAGTCTATAAACAATCAATTAATTAAAAGTAGTCCAGTAAATCATGTAATTGGGATTCCCGTATACAATAAATAATTAAGGCTGTGTTTGGTTTGAAGTTTAATAGAAAATAAGAGAGAAACAGAAAATTGAAGGTAAGTTATTAAGGAATTTTACAAAAGAACTTTCACTCGACCTTCTGTTTCTATAATTATTTTCTATCAAACCATACATACCTTAAAGCTATGTTTGGTTTGAAGGAAAAGGTAGGGAATCATAGGAAAACCTATACAAACCTTGTATTGTATAGGTTTCCCTATGTTTCCCTTCCTTTCCTTACTTTTTCCTTCAAACCAAACACAGCCTAAGAGACAACTAAGAGGCATTCTACAACATGAATGTTTTCGGAATCACCACATCAGCAAGAAAAACAAAAAACATGTTCCAGAACTCTGTTTTTGTTTTCAAAGGGAAAAACAAGTCGGTTTTGTTTCAAAAAACAATACATGTTTTTGGAACCAATAAAATATTGGTTTTTAAAACAAAAAAATAAATCTTTTAGTATAGAAATTATATGATTTATGGAACATGATGTTGAATAATTAGATGAAAATATATTTTTGAAACTAGATTCAAGAACATGTTTTTTGTTTTAGTTTTGAAAACAAAAAATACGCATACAACCAAAAACATGTTTTTTGTGTTTTTGTTTTAAGAAACAATATGTTTTCGAACAAGATGGTATTGATTTGTTTTTGCAACCGACAACAAGAAAAACAATTCACATTGTAGAACACCCCCTAAATTTACATGTAGCTAATTCCATGGGAACATGCTTTATTATGCATGTATAATAGAAATATTAGAAAAAAAAAGAACATTGGGAGATATCTCCTATGAGCTATTTTTAACATTCCAAGATATATAATTAGAGCCCAGGAAGGTATAATGATCATGGTTGAATGTGAAATTGCAAATGCACTAATAATATTAGGCCATCAATCAATTAAAGATCATCATCATCTCTGTTATGTTTAATGCCATATCCATTGTTATGAGTTAAATCATTTCTTACTACTTCTCAACCCATCTACCCTAGCCATTTTATCCCCCTTCAACTTGCAACAAATCACTTCTTTTTACTATGGTGTTGATTGTCTTCAATGCACGTGATGACATCTTATGAATAAATATCCAATTGCTATAAAATTATCATAAATATCTAATTGCTATAAAATCATCATTTACATAGAGATAAAAATGATTCACATTGATGTTTTCTTTCAACACATGTAGAGATGGCAATTTGACCCATCCCCATTGGGCCCCACCTTGCCCCATCCTAATCGGGACTGGTTTTTTGACCACTGGTTGGGGTTTGAGGAAACTGAAACTTTGGCGGTCGAGGATAGGGCGGGGTTGGCATTTGTCCACCTCGCCCCAACCCCGACCTTGATATATAATATATATATATATATATATATATATATATATATATATATATATATATATATATNTATATATATATATATATATATATATATATATATATATAATTGTTAACATATTGCTATTTTATATTATACAATATAAAATAGTTCTAGGTAGGTTTCAAAAATAAATAAAAAATAAATAAACTTGTAAGTATACAAGTATGAATGACCAAGGCAAGGTGAAGCAAATTTGGGGATCCCCATTCCCCGTAGGGACAGGGATGAGGTTAGAATTTTTAGATTGGGGTTTGGGGCAGGGCATTTGAGTTTGGGGACAGGGATGAGACAGGAAAAAACCAGCCCCCACCCCGCCTCGTTGCCATTCCTAAATACATGTGAAAAGGGCAAAATAGGGCTTTTAAAAATTTAAATGGGTCATGTGAAATCACATGTTAATGGTTCTTGAAATTTTACTAGTGGAGGGAATATTTAAGTCCAATGGAGTCAATACACAACTTGAAAGGTTTAGGGTATGTTTAAGATAGTTTCATAAAACCTCAAGGTATGTTTAAAGTTGTGTTTGGTATCGTTGTTGTTTCTACTTGAAAAATTTGGGTTGATCAATACAAATTAGTGAGAGATATCTAATATGTGTTGTCACATATAGGGTTCAAATGGATTGGACCAAATCCAGTCCAAATTCATACAAACCAAATCCAATCCAGTCTAAATAAAATGTAAATGGACCGGATTGGATCCAATCCAATCCAAATTGAATCAAAGACCAAAATAACATGAGAAATCCAGAAAATATATAAAAAAAAACTATAATACCTGATGCAATCCAATCCAATCCAATCCAATTAAAATGCAAACAGATTGGATTGGGTCCAATCCAATCCAAAGTGAATAAATAAAAAGTGATTTAGTAAAAATACTTTTATAAAAGTGCTTTTA